ATTGAATTAAATATTCTGAAGAAAAACTTTGAAGAAAATTCTGATGGACGATCAATCTTCAGCACCCCTTTAAGTGACCAGTTATAAAGACAGACAAATTTAATGAATAGATTTATTCAAATGAAAAAAATTCAATATGCTTTTGTCACTCAATTTCATTTTTTTTTTTTTTTTTGATCGTTTATGAACTCATTCATAGATAAGAATTCACTGTACAGTACTAAAATAAGAAATGATACCAGACAATACCACAAACTATACTATCATCACATAAAAAGATGAACAAAGAAGTTTACTAAATTCAATAACTAAAAGGTGATTACCTGCAAAGCAATAACAATGGTACCACTCTCAAGATAATGAAGCGTCATCATAACAGCCGAATAATTTCCTCGTACACATCGAATCATCATCCCATATTGCGTAAATAAAGGTCCTTTTTCACGAAATGAACGCCTTACTATTCCTATCGGATAATTCCGACGATTTGCAACCAAAAGACGTATCACCTATTTATTTGAAAAATTCGATTTAAAATTAGGAAATGGTTTAGAGATTTCAAACTACCAAAAAATTTAATTCGTTTTTTTGACATAGGAGATATTAGAAAACTCTATCATCATGTTACTAAAAAATAGAAAATGATTGGTTGATTAATGCATATAAATAAAATAAAGCCAATTCTTTTAATGTATCATTTCTTCTCTTTCCTATTTTAATCTACCTTTTTACTGACTTATAATACATTATAATTTGTCACCTAATGTTAGTATTCATAGAGTTAAAATAACACTTGACTACCATACCAAAGCTTCGTAGCAAAAGTAACAATCTTCAATGGAATTCCATGGAAACCAAGACAATGTCTAAAAAAAATTTTTTTTAGAAGAAAATATTGTACCTTCTCAGTTCCTTTACATATGAAATAACCGCCTTTTTCAGTTCCTTCTTCACCATGCGCTACTAGCTGTTCTCTTGTCAACCATCGCAAATGGCATCTGTTTGATTTCAACATTATGGGAACCTAAAATATATCTTATTTATAGAAAAATGAATTTGTGGATATTTAGTTCAAAAAGTTTAAGCCCACTACTCTCTGCTACTGTTACAGCATATTGAAAACTTAAAAATGCTAAACCATTTCCCACTTTAATATGTTTTGGTGTATAATCGAAAATGAAAGTCACTCACAACGCTGACAGAACACCAACTGATAAATAGAAAAAAAAAAACACGATTAAAAATGTAGTCAAAATAAGCACTACGACATGGTAAATTTGCAAAAAAAATGCTTCCACCAACCTCACCAACAATAACTTCACAAAAATCCATCTTAACGCCATTCAAGCGTATTTCTACGCTTACTTTTAATGGCCCCCTATAGGTTAAGCCACGTTGCCTGCATTCTGAAGGAAACAGTTTTAACGAATCAACCACAGAAGAACCCTATAAGAAAAAGAACATGGAATATTTCACTGAATTCATTACCACAAACAATTCCTTCTTTCACTCTCACCTTCTCTCTAATACATAACCAAGGCAAACCTGCCATATTGTCTCACAGTTTAAATCATCCTTTTTAATCCATCCGTTTAAAAGCAACATATTATTAAAGAGCTCATTAATTCATAAAAATAAACTCAACAACAAATCAAAAAAGATTTCTAAGCAATATCGTCTTAGACGGTCTTATACTATCCTAATGCGAGGTATCTGGATGAATTCATGAATTACCTCAGAATTCAAAATTACAATTTACCTGTTTCACTTCAACCATTGGATAACCAAGCTGGGCACTGGTATAACGCAATTCCACAGCTTCTCCAGTTGGAAGTCGAAATTTTTCGGCCGGTACATCTAAAGCAGCCAAATGTATTCCTTTTTCAGCCAAATAATCGAACGATTCCACATGATATGAAGCAACATCACAATCCATTGTTAATTATAATAATAATAACTGCATTCGTATTCCGGATCGAAGAATGAGATAAACACTTCTTAAACAGGCAAATACAGATGTCATATAGCTAATGCAACCCTATTAAATATTTCAAGCTATCCAATTATCTAATCACGGTCTTAAAAAATAAATACACTAAAGAATCGAAAAATCAAATCGAGACTGCCCCTTTCACAAAAATCAACTTTCCGTGATGTTAACTTAAACCTAAACTTGAAAAACCGGTGCGAAAAAACTTTACCGCATGGTATGATGGGCCTAAAGGATAACATCGATTCTGCAGTATACGCCACTTCCCAATACCTGGCTATCTTATAATAACTCCGCACAGACCCTGGTATAGCCTTAAGTTTAACTGACAAGCAAAAACTTGACCAAATATTCAGATTTCATTTTGTCTTACGCCCAGAAGTGCAGCGCCTTTTCACCCCTTTAAATTTCGATTCCATATATCCACTACCATTAGAGCCTTACTGCTTCAACAGAAACTGAATATGTTTATTAATACTTGGAAAGTAGTATAGATCCACACAAGAAAGGTTTTCTTGTTGATTTAACTGCCAGTTTGCATACACCCGTATATATGTGCAAGTATGAGTAAGCTTACATTACCAAGTATCAGATACACTTTTAATAAATATCGGAAAAACTCCAAATTTGAAGTATTTTTGTTGCATATCAGGATAGCTAACCTTTAATATAATTCATTTTTTGAAAATAAATATGTTAATAAACAAACGTGTTAATAGTCTGAATTTGTTAAGTCTTCTGGAGATCTCAAAAACAAGAGAAAATATTTAAATTGGATTACATCACCAAAGCTAAACATGTACAACGAAAATTTTCAACAAAAAATAAGTCTAAAAAACATATAACATTTAGGAAAAAATTCATCCAGCTTCTCCAAAATTTCGTCAGCTTCTTTTCCTCGTACTTCACGTCAGGCACAATAAATCAAAGTTTCATGGCGTATACAGAAAATTGAATCTAAAAGTATAAAACAAATAGCATTTTGATCAAACTGGAATAATTGGTCCTTTAATTTCAGTCAATATTAACAATAATGTTTTCCACAAAGTATGATTCTAATAAAAACATACTGTTACTCATTACAAATACCAAGCAACATCAGAATAATACTGTGAAAACTTGAAATACCAAATTCCAACAGTAGGAGAAAGGGTGGGAAAAAACGGAAAGAGATTGCCGACAAAGTCATAACTAATAAACAATGTAATAATGCAGACACTCTCACCTGCTAAGAACCTGTGGAAGGCTTGCAATCAAATTGCCGTAACCAGTTGAGTTGTCGTACAACTCAAAAAGCGGTGCGGCTACAAGTTTGTAATTTTTCGGCACAGCAAAAAGTGCTCGTTCCGGAAGTTGAACAAGAAATAATTTCGTTTGCTCTTTTGGCTTTGTAACATGTGCAGGAATATATGGATACTAAAAACGTTTCACAATTTTTCCTTTTTTTTTGGAAGAATATTATTAGAGCAGAAAAATTTTGGTTGAAAATTACATATCCAAGAAAGATCCATCGCAAAAATGAGAACGTAATCTATACCCTAGGTGGATCGAAATTCGGACGCCACCAATTACCAATAACGTCTTCAATAGTCCATAAGTCTTTCGCACCATCCTGCCGTCCTAGTGTCTAGAAATCAAAATGGAAATGTAAGCAAATAAATGTTAGAATGAAACATCAAACAGAACAAAATGGCTGCCAGCATTAAATGGTTCTGTGTTGCTGAACTTATTTAAGAGAAACTAAGAGACAAAAGTTGACAAAAGTCGTACACTCACTTCAGTAAGTAATCGTTTTAACCCTTCAACTTCATCTTCTCCAGGATTTAATTCACCACCTGGCCTAGAAAATGAAAATTTGTATTAACTACATGAGATCACCAGCGAAGCTGATACAATTATCTTTCACTAATCTACAGAAATGTTAACAAGACTCGAACTTGTTATTCGTGTAACCTTTTTATATTAATGATTTACTCCCTTTCTGAAATTAAAGAAATTTAATTCACTTTTAAGGTAGGAAGATATGTTTATGAAACTTACAATTTGAAAAACGTAGTACCAATTTGCAATAATAGCACATGAGGTAAGGAATGTTCATGAACGAGCAGAACACCTTCAACCGATCGACGCATTCCAATTTTTTCATACTCTTCACGCATACGTTGAAATCGTGCCTGCACTGAGTGGTCCCGTTCAGCTTGTGGATCTTTCGTCCCAAAGGTGTAATTCGTCAGCGGATACCTCAAATACTTATTTTAACGATTTCATATGAAGCTACATGAAACTGACAAAGTAACTGCTAAAATTCCCAGAAATCATAACGGAATAACTTCATTAAAACCACATCTTCATAATCGTAATTAACAATCACAAATCTTCGCAGATGAAATTATCAATTTATTTCGTTTGGTTTATCAACGCTCCTATCCGCATCATCCTTTCTTTCATCTTCTTATCTTCTCCAACCCTGTCTTTTTTTAATCAATTTTTGTGTTTCAAAGACTCAAATTACAAAAACTAAATCCCTTTTCGCAACTTGATTGTTATTAGCAAGAGAAAGAAATGTATTTTTAACATAAACGGAAAATGTTACAAATTGATAGCTCGATCAATGCTATTACGAGTATCATTTGGTTTTTTCAATGTAACTGGAGTGGTAACAACTTTCTGTGGTCGAGTAGCAACAGGCCATCCCGTCCGTGACATCCCCGTCATTTCACTAAAACCATGTTTCTTATTTTAATTCATCAACATTTATCTGCAAACATCAACTTCAACCCTAAGTTATGGGCTCCGTAAAACGAAGTTTCAAACGAATAAAAAATACGTAGAAGTATGGTGCGTATACCTCGTCAGTTTCGAAATTCATAATTTATACTAAACATTCAATTTGCCACCCTAACCTTAGAAGTATTAAGAACAAATCACATTACAAAAACTACCACGCCAAACCCGCACCCGTACCCGCGCATCTGGGCGAATGCTTTAACAGTTGAAGGGTACTTGTTGCATGCAACATTTTGTGAAATGCACTATCCTTAGGGAATTTGTAATTCGTTTTCCGGTTGGTTCATTCATTGTAGAAATTAGTTTATTCACTTTTCAAGTTGAATTCTCGTTATATTATTAATGTTATTATATTGGAAATTTTACGAAAAATTTTTATAAAATTAAGGAATCAGTGGATAGAATCATATGTTATAACTAATATATGTAATGTTTTTCACCAACTTCTATTTTATATTGCTGATCTAAAAATTCGTTCACATGTAGTAGTTTAAATCATTATTTTGCATGACTATTTTTCTATATTTATTTTTTAGGGAAAAAAAACTTTTTAAAAAAAAGTAAGGAAAAGTATTGAATTTCAGATGAATTATAATAACAACTTGCAAAACATTGACGATGAAAATAATAGCATACATGAAGACGACACAGAATCAGGAAGTACACAGAGTAGTGAAGATAATCAAAGAGAACGGAGACCTTTCGATGTTACATTACCACCAACGCATCAGTATTTACGACTAAATGGTATTGTTTTTAAATTTAATTGTGCAAATATATGTATGATATTGTAAAATATTAAATAAGAAGGAAAGCAGACTCTATTATATTTGGAATTTTCAATTGTTTTTTAATCACTGAGCGATTAATTCAATAGGCTGAAAAGTAGCTTAATTGTCAAATAGTTGACAGAATGACTGATGGTACTTCAGCATTGTTAACTTGTTTTAAGGGACTGACAAATAGTTGTGTTAGCATGAAATTTTGTATTTGTGTTTATACAAAAAGATTTCTGTTAGAAGACTGAGCATTAAATGACAGTATATCAGTAGTGGCTGATTAAAATGCGGAACTAATTTGATATCTGTATATTTTGCGAAACTAATTTGATATCTGTATATTTCTGATCATATGTGAGATGTGACTGATTTATGTAGCCTTAACATTAATTTGTAATTCAAATATTTAACTTGTTTATGGTGATGCCATTGATGATATTAATTACGCTTCATATTCTTCTGTCGTTTGTGAGTAATTAGCGAGTTTATTCTTTCTTTCTTTCTCTGATCAAACAGCTGATGATGCTAGGATGTGGAATTGTTTACTTTCATTAAAAATTCTAACTAACAGTGACTAAAATACTATCTTCAAATATTGTAGGAGATGATGATTTACCACATACTTTCAAAATGGAAGATGCTGGAAGGGTGATAACAGTGTCGATCTTGGAAATGCCAATTGTTTTGTTACCTACCCAGTTGCTCCCATTCCACACCGATTATCCATTACTTGTCTCGCAGCTTCGACATGCAGCTCGAGAAAATGAATATATAGCACTAAAACCGAGATTGGATACCTTTGATACGGATATTGCAACATTAATTCAGGTTTGATATAATACTGAAAATGAAAATAGTAGAAAGATCTGACACGGTTGATCTTTGATAAATTCCAGATAAATATTGGCTAAGATTGGTTGCAGAATACAGATGAAGTTCATTAGTTCATTTTATTCATTTATTCTGCGTAGAAATTATTCCCGAGCAGGAAGTGATTGAATCGAGAAATGCTTTAGTCAAGTAATTGGATTTGAATTTAATTATATTTAACTATATTTATCAATTTAGGTTCGAAGCTTGCAAGAAAATGACGGTGGAATATCTGTGCAAGCAGTAGGCCGTCAGCGATGCCGAATACTTACTCGACGGTCTGCCATTAACGGGTATTTTTGTCATCTTGTTTTAAAAATTGGGCCGCATTTAGCATTAGAATTATCATTAGAAAAGTTAAACAAATTTGCAACTATTTGGTATTTCAGGATGCCATATGGTGAGGTGCTAGTTCTAGAAGAAAAGGAGTTACCAGCTTTGTCCCAAATACTAATGCCCGCTTCATTTGCCAGTATGCGACCTAAAAAAGTAAGTATGACTTTCCTCTTTAAATAAAAGTGATAAATTTAGTCTAGCCAGCTAAAGCGACATAATTCTGATTTGATAAATGATTCAAATTAAGAAAAAAAAAAAAAACTACGCTGTTATTCTGCATTTTTCAATCTAAAATGCTATTGTAGTGTAATAAATTAAGGAAGATCAAATGAAAATCACAATTTTAATGGAGAGATAATGAAGTGAGAAGAGAGATAAATCTTTTCAACATTTTTTGGGGACAGAATTATATAGTATCTTTAACTCTTCTAGCAACACGAAACAATTATGGTTGATGTAAGCACCAAGTTCTTCATTTGCTAAAAGCAAAAGTTTCTTTAGAGTTTGCGGTATTTTGCGGCAATGACATCACATTCATATCATGTCTTGAAGATATCATTGACGGTAATGCTTTCTCTTATTATATACTTACTCATGTTTTTGACTTGTAATAATTCATGCAACTTTTCAGTTATTTGTTAATTTTGAAAAAAAAAGTAATTGAAAAGTTTTGTTTTTAGAAACATTACATTGATGAAATTGCAAAGTGGCTTTATGGTTGGTATGTATATGAAAAAGTTAAACGCGTTCTTTCTCAGGTACATTCTTTTCAAATTCAGTGACTATTGCTGTAATTTTTCGTGAAATTTTTTTGGTAAAATTAATTGAATCGAAACGAGTATTTTGACCAATAGGACTTCAGTATTTTTAATTTAGGGACCGACGGCATTGAGTTATTGGGTAGCTGCAAATTTACCAATTGATATGGAAATGCGCTTACGCTTACTGGATGAGCCGTATACGGATAGAAGATTGAAGGATGAATATGGCATCATTAATCGCGTAAAACATTTTTTGTTTCCAAGTCTTTTAATGAATTATTAACTGAGATAACAATCAAGGATAAATTTTCTTTGTTGATTATGATATATCTATTCTTATTGATCGGAATAGGTGTATGAAAAATTTCGTACCTTTCATGGTACACTCATGCTGGTAATATTTTGAATAAGGGAAGTATTGACAGATGCTTTACAGCTACAACTTTTGGGATGAAATGACAAAATTTCTTCAGGAAAGTATAGTGCTACCCTATTATTTCCCTGGGCTCTTTCATATCCCTTCATTTCTTTCCGTTGTGAAGTTAAAATCAGGCCGACAGGTTAATGGAAAGCTTGTTTTCTAATTCTTATGTTAGCTGCAAAATGTATAAACATAATTGTCTGAATGAAATTTCTCTTTTCTTGATATTTAAGGAATAAATCTCTGTAGTAGTAAATTCACTACTGTTTGAGAAGTTTTTTTTTTTTAATTTAATTATTAAAGAATTGTTTTGCAAAGTAATGATTTTAATCAAATAGGAATCAATATTAAGCAGTTAACATTGTAATCCTTTTTTTTTTTTTTTTAAGCAATTGTTGACTGTCATTATTACGTTCTATTCAGAATAAGATTTTCCTACAAATGATTGATTTATCTGACGATATTTGACTTATGGCTTCCTTTATAGATCGATGTCATTGTTTGCAAGAATTGTAGCACGCTGCTATGCAATATGTCACAAATGATTAGTGTATCAACAGATGGAAACAGTGCGCATTACGTTAATCCAGGTGGGTACTTGAGTTTCTACAGTAATGTGGTGGTATTATAGACTATACCGCAAAATCAGTTATAATTTTTTTTTTTTTTTTTGTTTTTTATTCACGGGCTTTTTTTATTTATCAAAAAAAAAAGGATTGTTGTGATACAGAACACAACAAAGCTTGCCTTGTGCTTTTTAAAAATTTAGCTTTTGTTTTCTAGCTTTTACTATATTTTTTTAATATTTTATTGTTTGCCAGCTCCTATTCACAAAGCATATTTTTAGGTGGTTATGTACATGATTTATTTACTGTATCAGAAGTAGTTTCAACGCTAGCACGTGGGACACCGTCAGCCGAATGCTCTTGGTTTCCGGGGTTTGTTATTGAAACATTTTTTGATGAGGAAAAGAGGATAATTTTAATGATAAGTATCATTTTACAATATCTAGAAATTTGCCAATAATATTTTCTGTATAGATTTCAGTTAAAATTAGTTGTCAGGGATTACTGAAATTATGAATTTATCCGCATTATGTAATCTGATAAAGGATGGTATAGTTTAAAATGTTCCACATTGTTCGATAATTCCGGGAAAAATACGAAAGGTACTGTATGGAACAAAAGGTGAAATTGTATAAATGCGTAAAATGCGGTAAAAGTGGATGAAATTTTAGTTACAAATGGACTATTCATGAATGCTCACACTGTGGACAGCATGTTGGTTGGCGTTTTACCAGTTCAGACTTGTCACCAAAGTCGTTCTTCGGTTTGACACGACGTTCAATTCGACCTGCTGATTCACGACGTCCAATCGCTTCCACTATTCAACGTATTGAACAATTAGCTATTATCTGAATGTTATTTTCCAAGTTTAAGGAAGATTTGCTTAAAGTTCAGAGCAAATTTAATGAGTGAAAAAAGCAATGAAGTGGTAATGTAACCGAATTGCTAAAAAAAGGGGAAGGTCGATACATTTGTCGATATAAAAAAAAATGGTTTCGTAAGATTACTGATTTTATCTGATCCACATTTGTCCTAATTGCCACGGGGGAAAGGAGGGGGAGAAATGTGTAATAGATAAACTATAATTTTAACTGGTAATTTTCCGAATTCTTTTCTTTCAAATTACAATTTCTTTCACAGGCATTCAAGTGGCTGAGCAACAATACAATATATGATACATGATGCGTTGTTGTACATAAACAATGGGGAAAACATAAAGAATTCGCAGGCGACTTTAAAAATTCCTTTCACATATTTCCTTTTCCACGTCTTTTATGCGTAAATCTCTCGCAGTTACTATACGCAGGAATTTTAACCGGATTTGTGGGAAAATTCGCGTTGCTTACCTTCAGTTCCCGATAGAACATGTTTTGATAATCGATGTTTGTTTTTCTCACCACTTTCAAGTACTAGAATTTGTTTTGCTACTTGATGTTATCAGTTTGTTTCATTGTAAGTACTTAACGGTATTAATTTCTCAAGCATATACTCTTACCAAATTTTGATCTTTATTAAGAGAGGAAAATATAGGCATCTTCTGAGATAAAATATGCTTTTTTTTGCATTGATCTAATTTGAACTTGCCATAAGGCATTTTTTTTTAGTCTGTGTGCTTCTATTATTTGATTAACTTATGCTTCCTTCCCAACACAGAATGAATCAGCTTCTTATTGCGTCTAATATTCATGTTCTTGTCATATGTAATGTTAATCTTTTGTATTTCTTATCGTCGAGACGGATGATCTGAGGGAAGAGTGAGAAAGGAATTTGTGAGGAGTAACGAAGAGGACATAGAGGATATTTTTTAGGTTAGAGTAAGTTTTAGAGTAATGGCCAAGGGACTGAGATTCTTCAGAAGTGTGCAGTGTGTGAAGTGAATCTGTAACTAAAGTTAATTCACATGTGTATAATAGTTTAAACCGCAGTACTTTATGATTATTGCTATAATTTAAGGCACAATATTGTACGATTTATTTATATTGTTCAAAATTTCCAGTCACTGAAATAGTAGATTTAGCAATTAAATCATCCATTATCTTTCACTGCTTATATAATGGTACAAAATATATTTTGTACATAAAAAAATATGACTCATAAACATTTCACTAATTCATCATTACAACATTTCCTTTCCTGAACAAACGAACATCTTTACTTATTGCTGAAGGCGAAACATTAAAGTATCAAAGTATCAAACTGCAAAGTCCACGTCTCCGCTCCATAAATTTGTTTGTTGATCTTCCCTTCCTTTTCAAAATAAGTATTAACACCAACAAAACAAGTAAGATATAGTAATGGATATCTCCTCAGTATTAAGACATATGAATGATATGTCGGGCCTCCCAGAGTTATCTTTTCCCTGAAGTTTTGTTTTCTAGAGTTATCGTCATGTAGTTAACTGTATATTTTCTTCCAGCTAGAAGCCCAAATAAGTAATAAAGCGGTTCTATATTGCATTAACCAGGCTCTTTTGCTTATGATTTCTCAAATTACAAGCATGTCTTACTATGGTTAAACTTCTAGTTATTTCATATGCCTTTAAAATTTACACTAAAAAATGTTTATTGTCATTGGTTCTGAAAAATATACAACTTGATAATATATACATTGCATTTAGAAATAAATCAGATTCTGCAGATGAAACATAACTATACAAACGCTAACCACTAGTACATATTGTCTGTGTGGTCATAACATTGCCCGTTTTTTTTGTCACCGTTTTACATTTCTGTCCTGTAAATATGCTTTTCAGTTTAAACAAGTGCAAAAAACGACCAAAATTTTAAAATTTTTATTTTCGTATTTCTAAACATTTTTTTAGAAATACGAAAATATGTTTTGCTTTTTAAACAAACGCTGGATGCATCAATTTTTTAACTGAAAATTGAGTCCAAGTTTTTTAGAAGTGTCTTCTTTCATCCCACTTTAGGAAATCATTCCACCCCGCTTTAGTCATTTCTCTCTTATCGCAATTAGTAGACAGTGTTAAAGAAATACCTCCTTGACTTGTTTCTTTCATGTACATTGAAGCTGGATTTTGGAAATCTCCAAAATGTAACCCATCAATTCCACCGAGATCCCCAGTACTTCCAAAACCACTAAAAGATGGAAACATATCGAAGCCTTCCCAAAGATCATCAAATAAGCTGTGACCATGCCAGTGCGCATCAAAATGGGATTTGAAATGCGCGTCTTCATGAGTTTTTCGGTGAATATTCATACCTAAAACATTTGCAATACCATAATTCGCAAACCAAAGATTCAAAATATACACATTTTTAAAACGCAGCTAGGGAAGTCAGATAAAATGGTCATGCGAAAATATATTTAACTTTGTGATATTACCAATATAACATATTAATTTCTAGGAAATTTTGCTTTATAGGAAATTTATATATCGACATTTTTTTGAACCACTCACTGAAAATATGAACTTCAACGCATTCTGTGAAATGCTACAAATCTTATTAAACCCGTTTTAAAAGACTTCTAAATTTCGGAGAACGTGGTAAATAATCATACTTTCTTGGAAATTATGCATGAACGTATCGAAGTCGAAATTCTGCGCATGCTGCTGCTGCTGATCATATGACCAACCGCCAGCATCATAGTTTCGCCGTTTTTGCTCATCAGCAAGTATTTCGTATGCTAAAATATCTATACTGTACAACTCATACAAATCATTTCTCAGCTTCAATAAAAGAATCGAGCCATGAGACCCCAAAAGTAAATGCAAGGGATCAATTCCATTTATCTTCTTTCGTTGTTTCTTCCTTTCCCACTAACACACTATTAAGAATCCATTTGATGACGAGGTTGCTTCACGAGCTTGAATTATTGGATGCATTCCACACTAGACATATCTTCCAGTAAATAGCAATGGATAATTAGGAATAAGTCGTAAAATTCTGAACAGTTTACAAGAGTTACACAAAAAGACCATAAGTAGATGTCCTACTTAACGCTACGGGTTAGAAAAAAAACTTTATATTTTAGAATAAAAGAAAAAAATTTTCTGTTCTCCTAAATGTACAATAAAACAAAAAATAGGACCCGAATATGGCTATCATTTAATAACTAATGTTCTGAAGTAAATTTCGAAAAAATGTGGTATTAGAAACTTAACTAAATTATTCGTACGTAGAAAATAAGATTGTTTAGCTAAAACCCAATAAAAATTTGATATGAATCAAATAAAAAAAGAAAGAATATTACCTGCTGCAATTTCTCGGAATTTCTCATGCGCATTTGGATCACTATTTCTATCCGGATGGTACTTGAGTGCCAAATTCCGGAATGCTTTCTTAATTTGTGCAGTTGACGCGTCACGTTTAACTCCTAATACCTCGTAATAGTCTCTTGCAGCATTAACAAATAACATAAATAAGTGTAAAATAAGTGTAAAGGCAACATTTGTCGACCGCATCCCAACACACTTCAAAGTAACATTGACAAGTTAAGTCCACGTGTCCTCGAAATGCTACGCCACGTCAGCCAAGAAATCATAGAACGAAGTTGGACGGCTTGCAGAATACCGCCGCGGCTTATGAAACAATCATTTGCAATTACTTCTGTAAAGGCTATGTTTTCCAGTTTTTGCCGGGAAATGGCAGATGACATTGTGTCATTTCCGGATTTTCACAGGGCGAGGGATAAGTTATTCTGGCTATTTTTTTTATATAAATTGTATGATAGTAGTAAGAAGGAAAAATTGAGAATTATAATTGTAAGAATGTGGTAAATAGTAATTGATGTAGTTAAATGTTTGTTCAATTACTTGGATTTTGTAAGAAATTCGACTTAAATATTTCATTAATAAGTGAAGTGATAATAACTGAATAGTTGTAGTTCTGGTTGCTAAAAGTGCTAATGATTACGCAACGAATTAAATGACTGAGAGCAACTCTTCGTTTTAGTTATTTTTGTTTCCTTTACTTCCCACAATTAAGCTCAAGTACACTTGGCGTCTTTAAATGATCATTTGTTTACTTTCTTTTGTTATCTATAGCAGATTGTAATAAAGTGAAAGTATGTTAATGGCATTATTTTAAAATAATAGCAAAAAAGAGCAGGACGATATTTCGATACGCTTGCTTTTCATGCTCACTGTATATTTGTTTAACTTTGTTTTTTTTCCCACTGCACTATTATTAGTAAAAATGATATGAATTAATTGAATGATCATTTTTTTTTGAGCAAATATTTTTTTATAAAATATATAAGCAAGAAAGAGTATTTGCAGGATTATTCAGATTTGTTTAAAACTGTTATTTTGATGCCATTCAATCGTTTGTGAGCAGCAATGATGGTTTTTGTTGCTGAAATTTTGCTTGGAACGAAAGATGTTTGAGATGGAAATGTAGTTTAGGAAATTCAAATACAATGACACAGTCCGAAGAAGTAAACTTTCTTCTGCATTCCGAAAATTAACCGTCGTTCAGTTTTGTACAATATCGATTTTGTTCTTTTTTTTCCTTTTTTATTGATGAAGTAGGAGTGTAATAGATTTGATAATATTGATCAGTTTATCTTTATTCTCTTGTACATTCTAGGTATATCCTTAATATATCCTTAATATCCTTAATATTTGAATAAGGATATTTTCAAAGGTTTAAGCATCATTTTGTTTTGTGCAGTTATTCTATCTGAAGAAAATGAAGTTCAGAATGATTACAGTGAATTGGAAGAGATGAGCAAGTAAGGACTGAATGATTCGGATAACTAAATTTAATTACTTATATGGGTTTTGGTAATGACTTTTTTGATTACTATTATGGTGTGCACGGAAGGTAAACGAATTCTTCGATGTTTTAGATAATGTACATATGCAAAATTAAATTCGATATATCACT